GATAGATAGATAGATAGATAGATAGATAGATAGATAGATAGATAGATCGATAGATCGATAGATCCGTGGATAAAGGTGCCAGCTCTGGATGATGAGTAGTCGAAAGTAAATCAATCAGCAGTAAATTGAACAAGAAGAAACATACATGCATAAAAAACAGCAGCAGGAGTAGTTCATTAGGCCCCTTGAGCCTGTGCTACCATTCAAATGCGATATGGCTGATCTTCGATGTCATTGCGTTACTCCCAACATTCTCCCATATCCCTTGATCCAGTCAAGAACGAAATCAAGATCGAACATAAGAGATAGAGAGAGAGAACTAGTGAAATTATGTATCAGAGAGACAGTGAGATTGTGCATGTCGGAGAGAGAAATAGTGAGATTGAGTATGAGCGAGAAAGATAGTGAGATTTTGCATGAATGAGATATTGAGATTGCGTATGTGACAGAGATATAGTCAGAGTAGGCAGGATATGAAGGGCCAAATAGTCCCCGACTGTTCTTTCCAAAAATATTTAACGATGTGCGGCTGTCAATGAATATTTCTTTGTGTGTAGAGAATAGTGAGTGACGCTGCATTTCCTCTTGTCACCTTTTGTCTGTAAATTTCACTGTTTTTCAAGATGTACCATTGAAGTTGAGCAGTGATCGTGATTGAGATTGCAGACATGTTCGCCGAGCCGATGGGTTTTTTTGCAAACATTTCGTCATTCTGCTGGACAGCATTGTCAGTGCGCCTCCGATGAAGTATCAGTGTTCTGTCCTGCTTGTTATTTATATCCCTCGGTTTGCTGTAGTGGTTGATATTACTTCCGGGTCTGTTTCTCAGTGGTTGGTACACAGGGTCTAATTCAATGTGGTATTGAAGGAGTTACCTGGCTTGTCTCTGTTCCAGCCGCACTGGGTTTTTCAGACAATCGACAATAGATTCATAGTCATCATTAGATTCTTAATTCCAATTTTTTTTTAACTCAATTCAAATTCCACCCTTTGCCGTGGCAGGATTTGTGCCTGGGTCCCCATAAAATTATTTGGCTTTCTGGATCAACAGTCCAGCGATAATGCTCCGAGACCTTCGCCTGCCTTTCCTCCTCCATTCCCTGATAAGGATCAAGCCAGTGAGACGGGAGTGGGAGCACCGAACAACAGCAAATTTAATTCAGACACAAGCGATCTCTTCAGCCAATGACATCTTCGAATGTGTTAGAGATGAAATTGATGTGAAAAGCGAAGGGAAGTGGAGCCACAAGCTGCAGATAGACTGCTTTAAACTTCCAAAATCCATCAAGCTCAACAATGAGACAAGTCTGAAGCATTCAAGGGCAACTTTAAGAGGTGCTTTACAAGGTCAAAAACAGCATAAAGTACCTAAGTACAACTCTGCTTGCTTTTGTGTCTGTAATAGTTAATTTTCAAACATGGAGACTGGCAAAACTCCTCAATATTTTCATTTTTTCTTAAGTCGGGCTTTTCAACAGCCACTGGACAATAACTGGAATGTTTATAGATAAGAGATTTGGGGAAACAGAAGGAAATTTGGATAAATTGCAAGTTATTTGAAAAGAGCTGGCATGGACATGATAGATAGAAAGATCTCCTGAAATGCTGTGTCGTTTCATGACTTCATTTTCAGATCAATTTGCAACCAGCATTCCCAGTGATTCAGGCCAAATCCTACCTCTTCGATCGAAAGTGCTGTCTAACTGCACAGATTAGCAGTCTAACTTGGCCCACTTTTGATTTGCCCAGCGCAGTGTTTCTCCAATGTAATGTTTATCATATTGGCCTCACAGGGGAAAGCGTAAACATTTTTAAATGGGACATAAGCCAATGTTACTGTTCACAAAGTTTGAATGAGTGGCGCACCCTTGCGTTCCGAGACTGTGTCGCCCCTCCACATCGAATATTCTTCTGAATTGTTTCTTCGTTTTCAACTTTTTGTTTTGGTCCCAACCTACAGACATAGAGGAAGTCTGAGTCGGTGATCTGTCCATCAGTCATCTGCAACAGTCATCACTTTGGAGATAAGGAAATCCTTTTCATCCATACAATCCCTCCAGTGTGGAAATAGGTCATTCAGGTCTCCTCAGAAGAGCATCCCATCCAGACCCATCTTCCTACCCTTTCCTTGTATCTTCCATGGTTAACACACCTAACCTACACATCTCTGTACACTATCGGCAATTTAGAACGCCCAATCCACCTAACTTGCACATCTTTGGTCTGTGGCACGAAGCCAGAACACCCAGCAGAAACCCACGCAGACAGGGGGAAAATGTACGAACTCGCACAGGCAGACGCGCCAAGGCGGAACCAAACACGTGTCCACGGTGCTTTGTGGCAGCCCTGCTAACCACTGAGACACACTTTTGTCTATGGGATCGAATTATGAGGTAGTCGATCATGCGCCAGTGTTTTGATGATGGATGTCTCCAAGAAGTCTTGAAATTGTTCTTTTGCTGGAAGAATGTGTTGGCGATGACCAACTGTTGTTCAATAGATTTGCCGGGCAGCAGAATCCAGTTGAAATTGAAATTCTAGACTCCATTCTTTCCAAGGCTCCGTTTCCAGATTTGGGAGTCTTTTTCAACCCGGGAATTGAAGACTCAATGTTGAAGATGCATACAGCTGTCAGATCAATATCTTTGAGAAGTATTATCAACCCTGTTCGAGATACATTCTCCGTATCAGCTGGGTCGATAGTTTCTTTGAAATCGTTAATAATACCAGCATCCCAAGTCTTGATCATCTCTGCTGAGCTGGCCATGTGTTAGGATGTTTCAGCTGCGACTACCAAAGCAAACCAGCATCGCTCAGTTCAAGGAAAGCACGCGAACGAGAGAAAGGAAAAAGGAAGAACCTGAATAGTTTGTACCAAGCTATACAACTCTTTGAGAATACCCGCCCGCTTGACGAAGTACAGAACAGGAGTCAGAGGACGAAATGCCAACAATTTAAAGGCCAAGGACCAATGCCACGCCTAAGTACCTTCTAAATGCTTGGTCATAATTGCTGACCTTAGGTCGATCCATAGAATCCGTGGCGTGCAATTTCCTTGGTAGGCAATCAAACCCATTAATGACTGATTGCCGATGGATTTTGAGAAGCACGACCAGTTTAGACATGTTGCATACTGCACTCGAACGAGGTAGGAGTGGTATCTACAACCTGCTGATTATTCGTCAGATGTGTTATCCATTAAACCACTGGTCCTGGACACAGATCTAACTTAGATCCTGCAGCGTTGTGGTATTAACAGTGTAATGAGCGGAAATATTAACATTCCAATATGAACAAACAGTGAAGGTAATAACCGCCACTGTTTGAATACAATCTTGAAAAGTGCTGTATTTCTTTTCTGGAAACCAAACCATCGTTGTCCTCAGGTGGGTACCTCTGGTTCGCATCTTTCTCTGATGGAACTTCCTAAGATTTCATTCATAGCCATTCCTCTAATTTATTGTCTTTCATGCCTTGTGTGAGGTATTTTGAAGTCGAGGTCTTGACCGAATTCAACGAGAAGTTTCTAGTCATTTCTAGCCCAGGGTGTGGAATCAGTCGAATTTAACGACAACTTTTATTGGTGCTGCCCATTCACTACAGCTCAGTAATTCAAATCAGGCCCCGGTTAGCAGCAACCTGTTCTGTACGTTCCTGCAGCACATCTGCTGAACAACATAAGATTGTCGTAGCTCTGCTTTCTTCACATTGAAACACAGGGCGATAATGTGATCGGTTTCAAAGTTTAACGATGTGCAAAGAACTGGAAGGATATTGTTACTGGGAATAATTGGCACTGCAAATTCCTATAATCAGTATTTAGGAGAATCAGGTTGATGAGATCCCGCTGTCTCTTTAAGCATCCGGACACAAACGCATCGCATCTCAATACCTCTTGTCTTATCTCCCGTGGCCCTGTTTTCCAGGTCCTTACTGAGCAACATGAAACAAAATGACATGAGTCACTCTGGCGTAGTGTTTAATGCAAAGGACACTTGGATGGAATGAAGTGCACAGTTCTGTGCTGCTGGGGCTCAGTTGCTTAAAGTGTCTGCCTGGTAAATTGGAAATCCTGCCTTTATATCTCAGCAGTTCACATACATACTTTAAAGATCCAACCATGAATTTAATGATTCCTGAGGTAGAATTTTCACAGGACTCCCGAGCGAGGGGTGAGCATGTTATGGCTGAAATTAGCCTTCAGTTTAGGATGGAGAAACTTGGCTCACAAGTAAGTATTCTAAAGTTCAATATTTTCCTTCCGAAAGAATGAGGTCGGTAACCAAAGTAGTCTGGAAAAGGTGATCAATAACAACGGTAAAACTTAAGAAACCGATTCATGACTCACAAAAAAGATATCCCAGTGAGGAAGAATTATTCTCATCAGGGGTTAAAGCAACCATGGTTAGCGCAGGAAGTAAAAGTTCTTTTTTCGTTATTTAAAGTACATGTAGAGAGGTGAAGAGGCATGAAAGACGATTCGGAAAGATTTAAAAATAATGCAATGGAAGATGGAAGTACCCACAAGAAGCAAGCAAAACCCTGTCTGCCTGCTTAACAAGTCAGTAACCCTTGAGTATGCACCTAACAGGTTGAATATGGAAGTTGGAGACAGAGAGAAGCCAAACCAGTGATATTATTCTCGTCTCGGATCCAGAGCCCCCTTTAAAACAGCAGTTCACTGATTATGAGAGCTCTGTGCAAACAATATGTACAGGCAATGGCCCCTGAGGGGTCTAAACATAATAATGAATCATATAAATGCCACTTTTCAATGAATAAAACAAACGGAGGGAATTGACTTTGTTGTTTGATAAATGCGATTAGAAAGGGAACATGGGCTCAGTGATCTTGAGGTGAAGTAATCATGAGAAATATTCTCATCACACTTATTTTAAACATAACCGAGTACATTGAAGCTTATTAGTTATTTATTACAACTGCAGGCTTCCCCGTTACTCAAATGTTTGTGGTTTTATTCTGTCGATAAATTCGTTCAAAGCCTCCTTCAGCAGTACTTTCTAAACCCACAAACTCTCCCACCCAGGACAAAGGTAGCAAAATCATTTGAGCAGCAGAGACTGCAGCTTCCTCGCCAAACAACATACACCATCTTGAGTTTGAACTTTATCACGATTCTTGGCAGAAGGCCTCGTCAAAATCTTGACTTTCCCTTCCTAATTGCATTGGGGTGTACCTTCACCAGATTGGCAGACAGTGGCATCGTGGTAACGTCACTGGCCTCGCAAACCAAGTGCTCAGATTAAGTCTTAGAGTTCCTGGATCCCATCATTCCACCTGGAGGTATTTGACTTGGTATTCTCATAATATGGAGTTAGAGCCTAATGTCTGGAAATAACTGTGAAACGCTCATTGATGTGTTTTCAACTATGCCTTGTGCAACTGCACTGAATTCCTTGGTCCGTTGCTCAAAACCTCTTGCAATGAAGGCAAAGTCGGCAATAACAGAATGGGTTTGCTGACCCAAATATATGAATTCTGAATACTTGGGGTTTCCGAACTGCTAAACGAATAATTCCTCTAACATTTTACCGAGTTAGGCAGATCTTTAATCGATAACAGAGTCAAAGTTTATGGAAGTAAGGCAGAAAAATGGATTCTTAGATATTCAAATCAGCCGTAATCCGAATGAAAAGCAGAGTCCCTATGGAGTGAATGGCTAACTTCTGCTCCTAAATCTTATACTTTATGTTCGTCCAGAGTCGCTGTCACTGATATATATTATGATCTCTGGTGGCATCCAATTATAAGTATTTTATCTGCATTCAGATAACTGAAAGCCATGGAGTCATAGCGAAGTACACCATGGAAACGGACTCCTTAGTGCAACTTGTCCATGCTGACCAAATATGCCAGAGAGTAATGAGAATAGAGTTCAGCAGGGTGCAATTACGAAAAAATTTTCATCTTCACATAGTCCACACAGATGTGATGGAACGAAGGGCTTGTTTCTGTGCTGTGCTGTTCTATAACTGACTTTGAATGCCGTTTCGCCCTCTTAACTAATCAACAAGAAGTTCTGACATTATTGGTGTTGATGGTACTGAGTTGTCAAACACTGCAGTGCATCACTGTACAATGGCATACCGAGACAAAGACTGAGCACTCCTACAAATTATCTATGCAGATACCGATCAGAAATTCTCATGACTGCTCACTTCACAATATGTCGCCTCGCATGTGTGATCTGAACAACAGTTTTAAATTCTTACATAACGAAAGAGTTATTCTGACTGTGCAGAATGTATTAACTCCTGAGGGACGCCAAGTCCCACGTACATGCTGTACTCTACAGAAATGGATTTCACTTGATTCGAGCACGCAGAGTCACATTCAAAATAGGATTCTGCTTCTCTCAAATGTCGCCATTGGATGGAGAGGAACGCATTGGTCTTTACACAACTTAAAAATGCAGATGTGAACTGGTGGAAAAAAATGAACTGATTTGAATAGAACATTAAAAATGTTCATTTCCGTCAGCCTAACGGCAAAAAACTCGTGTGACTGAGACTTTCACTCGGGGTTCTGACTCAGTCACCACAAAACGCCTTGAATTGGTTAATGTTGTTCAGATGTGAGTTACCTCCCAGTTTCGTTTACATTTTTAACCAAGGCTGCATGATCCTGGATCACTAAATCTATCACTCACCATTCTGGGGCTGCAAATATGAAGGTACAGGGACAGTACTCAATAACCCGCAATGTGTTTGCCAATGTTCGAGTTGCACGAGTGTTTCATTGTTAGAATCACATGACAGGTTATTGTCTCACAAACCGAGGGCTGCAATTCTCTGCGTCACTGGAGGATTCTGTTTACGCTGAACTGGTTGTTGCATTTTCGACATCACATCGTCTCTGAAACATTGAAACACTTTGGGACATGTCAAAAACCACGCAATAAATTATTTGTTTTCCATTCAATGAAGTGACGGCGTTAGTTTATTTTAATAACAGATTATTAATTATTAACGTTTTGTCTTCGAACGAGACGTATGAGATATCACCGTGAATTCGGGAACCACTTCATATCTGGCCCTGGTCTCACTGTTTTCTAATTGTACTGTCATGTTCAGTGGCTCTCTGTCAGTTTTTCTACGGGGTCAATCCAGTTCAGAGTCTCTGTGGGTCTCACTGCGGTGTCTGTCAGTTCTGTTTTCGATACTTGCAGGTGAATAGTGCGGTTCACATAATCAAACTCCGAGGAAAACCGGTGTCCTGGAATTCTCTCTGAGTTCCTGATACATTGGTTTCTCTTTAGCAGATACTCCATGGAGCCGCTGGAATGCTGACGGTACCAGAACAGGTAAGGATCACTGTTTGTTGTAGCTGCGTAATTACAGAATGACAGGCCATCTTCCCCTTCATTCACTCCGATTGTGGCCGG